CCAGTTCCTGGATCAGTGATGTAATACATTACTGGAACAACTCATGGATGTAACAGAATGACAGGCCTTGTCAGGGCACAAGAAGTTAATGTTTCTCTTCAAGTATCCTAACAATTTAGGACAGATGTTAGTTTCACTGTGGCAGTAAACAAATCAACAATGACATCATAATAAAGTGATACTGATGAATAATCTGATGCTTGTATAATGTCTTTCTTGTGAGGAGTTCAAAGTGCCTTGTAAAAGGTGAATAGTAGCATTTTCATTTGGTGAGATCCTAAATGATAACTTTCTACTGCATGAATTTCACCCAAAGGTGCCTGTTCTCCCCACCCTCATTTCACAGAGAATCAAGAACTGGACTCATCTCACCTCCACTGCAGCAGCAATTTCTGGAGAACACAGCTCCCACACCTGTAGATTACCCAGAGCCTTAAGAAAAGTGTCTGGATGAATTTTCAAATCAGGAATCTTGCCATATTTCTCCAGTTTCTTTAAGATTTTCTGTACATAACGGTCACTCTTCACAGACTCTGGGAGTCTGGCAAGCAACACAGAAAACCTTTAACAGAAAGAAGAACAGCAATAAAAGAGAAGTCATGGGAACAAATGCCTACCTGATTAATAACTCTGGATTTGCCTGGCATTTCTGCCACTTCACCACCTCCACAGCTTCCACAGAAAAAAACTGCTCTTCAGGGAATGCAATACTCTGTGTAATTCCAAGTGAATAATGCGAAAGAGCTTCACTTTATTTATTGGACTTCTGCACCAATTCTCTTTGCAGGGCATTGAAATAGATGCTTCTTCATTGTTCATTTAAATTTTGGATGACAAACTTGGCTATGAAAGCAAATAATAAAATCCTAACAAATGTTTCCATTTTGCTACAGATTTGTCCTCTTCATCTTTTCTCCATTTATTTTGTTTAGCCTCTATGGATTTTCCAGTGCAATCAGTGCCTGATCTGACACACTTTCTGATTCTCTTCACTATCCCTTTTCCCTGTGCTAGCATCATTCTCCTCTCTCTAGATGCTGACATAAATCTCACTGATGTAAGTGCCCTGTAACACACAGTCTTTATCATTTCACACCGGATATAGAGATTCAGAAGGAGAATTACACATTACAATAAAAATAAAGCTCTTGTGAAAAGACTGCCTTTATTTTTTTAATGTTCTGTGTAAATTCCGCAGTGCTGCTTTGACAGTCCTGGAGACTGATGTTCCAAACCTTTCTAGACTGTGGATGACTGGGGTGTGCTGTGGCTTTCACTGAAAGGGCTGAGGATTTGGTAGGACAGCAGCAGGAAGTGCTGCCTCCCCTCCAGTTTAGGATACATGTTACTGGGACAGCAGGAGAGGGATGAGGAATTTTACTCCTTAAACTACAAAAATACCAAAACATAGGTTCTCATCTTCAGTAGGGCCAGTTCTACACTCAGTAGTACACTGCTAGTATGGGTATGGTTGTATAGCCAACTCCTTATCACTGGTTATTATTACCCAGGCTACCATAACTGTGTCACCCACAAGCCATTTATAACCCATCCATGCATTAAGATGTTTTATTTTAGAAAGCTAGGTATGTTCAGTGCATTCTTGCATGGCACTGTTTATATTGTATATTATTTTTGGCTCACTTCACGAGAGAGATAAGCCACCTGGACCGACAGCATATACTAGGAAAGCATTCCCGCTGTGATTCAGCTTTCTTGGCAAAGCAGCGTTTGCAAAAGAATGGGAAAAAAACAGTCGTTTAGTAAATGAAACAAGTGGTGCGGTGAAAGTAATTTCTCTGTGATGACTTTGTGTGTCCACAAGGGGGTTGACCAGCCTCATCAGAGATTTCACTCTTCATACTCCTCATTGGATAGCACTTTGCAGAACAGGCCTGTCATGGAAAGCTGTACTCACCTAACTACGCTGGCATAGTCCAAGCAAGATGGACCCCTCACCAGGGAAGCACGATTCCCCTATGAAGGAACAGCAGACTTGTGGTACTGTCCTTGCATATGGAGAAAAGTAAAAAGCCATATTGGTGTAGTCTCCTTTATACTCATGGAGCTTTGTCCCAGTTAAGGCTTCTTCTAGCAGAACTGCAAGTTTAAAACCTAATCTACATCCACTCCAGTTTCAGGGCTTATTTATATGCCAGATCTTAAATTTAGGGGGACAGCTAGAACATATATGTTTGACAATTAAAACTAGAGTTCTGCTAGATAGGCCAAGTCTAGGTTTATTCATTCATACACGTCCTGAATTAACCTATTTGCTGAGCAGGCAAAGATCTGCTCCTAGAGATCATATCTGTATTTTTGTTGCTACCAGTTTGAAGAGCCTGAATTTACAGCAACTGATTCAATGGTTTCTAGTGGTACTTTGCCTTGGGGAAAAAAAGAAAAGAAAAAAACATCTTTCTGTACTAAAGACAGAACTCTGAGACCCTAACCATCTCATCTGAGCTGAGGGTTTCTGTGCCTCCTTACCAGTTTAGTCCATCTTCACGACATTCTCTTTCAACTCTCGTGTCCAGTTGTCTTATTCTTTTCATGTCTCTTTCAAAATACGTCAGTTGATTCAAAGCCTGGTATTTTTGACAACATCGTTCTTCCTGCGTCCTACAAAATAACCTTTGAAGTTGAAGCTGTTTTAAAAATTACCATGCTTCTACGCAGTTAAATGGGAAGATACTAAGTGAGGCAGAAAACAATAAATGTGAACACACTGTATGTTCAGTCTGTGGACATTAATAGTAATTTTTGCTTTTACAGTGTTCTGTGTACATTCATATTTCTACAAACATATTAAGAAGTGTTTACGTTTTACATCAACTCAGAATCAAAACACTTCAAGTGAAATTCAACCTCCACTTTCTATTAGGTGTACACTGCTTAAAAGCAAACAGATTACTGCACAGTGATTTAGGGTAAAATAGTATTTAAAATACACCAGAAGAGAGGTGGAATAGAATGACCTGAGCTAGAATTTTGACACAGAGACTGGGATCACATATTCATTCCTATAAAAAAATATTACTGTGTTATATAAAAAATAAACATCTGCTTTACTTTCCAATAATTATACTATATCCTGCCAAACTGAGGTTTCATCTCCAAATGCTGATCAAACAGCATATCCTTGTGTGGCTGCATGGAGAATGGTACAATAGCAAGGAGTAAGTTTCCATCCTTGTCCTTCCATACTGCAGGATGCTGGAATGATTAGTTACGTATGCAGCCACAGCAGCTGCTCAGGGAAGAAAACAAGGACCCAGCTCCAGATAAGGAAAGGTCCAGGGAGAAAAAGAAAGGAAAAGGGAAAGGGAAAGATCTAAGTACAAAATGGATCAGAAGAAAGGAAAGAAGAAGGAAGTGAGGGAGGAAAGAAAACTGTGCCTGTAATACCCTTCAGAACAGCAATGTAGAGAAGGATCTCCGGTCTGATGCTTACTGAGACAAAAGAATTTGCACAAACATCACAGATTAGTGTCTTTGAGTGAAAGGAAAAGGATGACAGGCTTTGGCTGGTCAACAAGGTAGAAATGCCACTGATCTGGGAAAAGGCCTTGAGAGAGGACATTATAACTGTTACCAAAAGAAGAGTCAAAGTAATGTTGAAAAACAATATAGTGACCTCTGAACTGAAAACACATGACAGCCATACAGATTGCATGTGGACTGAATCTATTCTGTCTTTGGATGAAAAGGACTACAATGTCCAAAGTAAATATAGCTAATGTTTGCAGCAAAACTATTTCCAGAAAAGCAATCTGGAAATATCCCAAAAACACTGCTGTAAATATTGAACCTGTCATATATTTTTTTATACACAGTCACAAAACTTTCTATCATCATCCCTATATTCTTATTTTATTGCTAATCCATATAAATGCATCTTTTAAAAGGCCTGAAGACAAGTCCTAAATCTGGTCAGAAGCAAGGTGTGTAGTGTTTTAAGAGTATAGAGAAAACAGTCTTTTCCTACCTCTCAAGGCTCTCTAGGGTATCATGTAAACAACAAGCTGCTTCTTCGCGTACTGCCATGAACTTCTGCCTCATATCGGCACACAAGTCAGATTTGCTTTCAATGAAAGAGCCGATATGGCAGCTGCAAATAAAACAACACAGAAAACTGGTATTAACATCTTGTGGTAACCATTTTGTGGTAAGCACCTGTGTTGCTCAGAACATACAGTCATGTGGGCCCATGTAAATTTTGCAATCTCCTTATTCTCAGTAAAAAATCCAAATTTAATGTAATTTACGGGGTTTTTTTATTCATCAATTTTATGGAAGAATTTTATTAATAAAATAATTGTAAATCATATTAAATTTGGATTTTTACCGTCTTTCATTCCACGTGCATCCTTCCATGAAAGTGCCTTCGCATTGCATTGAAATGTACTAAATGTGCTGCAAGGTTTCACCGGCCTGCTCTGTTCTCATGTAAAAAAATGCTCTTTGACATTTGTATGCTACATGCTTTCCACACAGAGCACAGAGTTTATACAGCACATAATGTGCTTCAAAAACTGATTTGTACCCTTACCTCTGCTTCTTTGATATCATACTCTCTTGGTCCTTAATGGATGGCATGTTTACTCCATAATTCTTCTGAGCCATTAGCAAACTGTAAGACACAACAAGGTTAAAAATAATATACAGTACAGTGCCTTCTCTAGAATGTGGAAAATTCTACAGGTGCTGATAAAACATTCTTAATATTACAGACTTGCTGGAGTAATCCAGGTACAAAATTTATTTCTCTTGACCTCAGCTCAAGGGAATAAAATGCTTCAGCAAAGTCTAGTTATAAGAATGGTTTGTCATGTTGATCTTACAGCTGTGGAAATCCCCACAGAACTGAATAATGAGGGAATACATCTAATGTCAGCTTAGCTGGAAACATTATAGAGAAACTACTGAAAAATGCAATGGTAGAAACAGAAACAATTCTACAGATATATCTTATATCTGCTGGAGCATAAGACCTCTTCTGTTTGCAAAGGCAAGATTCATAGGGTGTTTTCCAGAAAATACATACTGCTTGCACAGCAGTAAAATGGGCTATTCTGCCATCGTGCTAAAAAACGTAATGTAATCTGAATTTACTGAATGTGCTGAATACAGTTGTTGCAGGGGGTGGGGTGGTAGTGGGGGGAAGCCTGAGCTCTGTCCTAATCAGCTGCTTCTTGTAGTCAGTCAGAAACCCACCTGCTAACATACTGCTGCAGTCCAGCCTTCTTAACCACATCTTCTTGTTTACAGACATCTTTTGACGCCTTTTCACGCATTATCTGGACGATTTTCTGTAGGGCTGATAAAAGAGTTCTGTAAAAACATGTCAACTCAGTAGTGCATTCCTCTCTTCCTTGCTGATCAGGTGCCATATATGCTGGCCTGAAGGAGACATCCTGAAGAAACCTGTTATCTACGATCTCTAAAAACTGAGGTTTATTCCAAAAAAGCAGCTTTTTATAGAGGTTTCAAGATAGGTACCCAAATGTGAACACACCCAACTCATTAATTGCTTTTGAAAACATAAGCTTTGTTCTTTCAGTTGTGAAAAAAACCCCATCACGTAGAAGATATTAAATATTTTTTACATTAGATGCTTGTATCTCCTCTTTTAAAAGTGTGCTTTTGATTGAGAATTCAAAGCTGCACTGCTGGCCAGAAAGCTTTGGGGATAAAATCCAGTTAGTTTAATCTGATACAGGTTCTCACATTTTACTTCTCAGTGTGAAGAAAAATGTATGTCATTGGAACTGATCTGCATACACACATGCTTCGTTACACAGTAACCATGAAAAATTAAGCTTACATTTAGTGTGTATAGTCTCCATCTGCATGAAAAGAGATTTTCTTTGTTTTTAAATGTGGTGAAGGAAGAACACCAATCTGCTTTGTAAAACCCTTGACTGATTAGATTTGGACTGAGTGACAAATGAGACTACCTCAGCAGTGACCTATTGTTACACTGCAGCTGCAGGGACTGCAGCTTCCACATTTACCTTTGTCAACATGATGTAATAGTTAAACTTCTGGAGTAGTACAGGTCCTCACTCAGCCAACAGCACTGAAAAACCTCATTTCTGTAAGCAGACATTCTATAGCAGCAGTCCCCAAACAATAGCGTCTAAATTATA